AATACTGTGTATATGTAGCCCTGCTATATATCATCAAAAAGGTAAATACAGTGTTCGAATGTGTAGCATAGCCCTCAACGAATGTTGTCCTATAAATAAATAAAACAAATAAATATATTATGTAATAAATTCGGAATTAACCCACAGGCCTATAATACAAAATAAACAAGTCTAACTTAAATTACTTATATTACAGCAATGAGGAAAAATGTTTACAAAACCAGTGTGGAGGGAAAAAGCTAAAATGCTTAAAGAAATATATACTTATATATAAATATATATGCATATATAAACCTTATATTATATAACAGTCTATGATTGCTTGTGTTTTACGTCTCGCATGATGGTGCAATTGGTAAGTGTTTATTATTTAATAATATGAATTAGTCCCGTGTGGATATTACGGATGAAATGATATAAAATCGTGGGATTCGGTGAGGTTGTTTTCTTCTTGTTTTGTGAATTTCCTGCAAGCTGTAAATCATATTGCCGCTGAAATGTGTCTGTTGTTTGTACATCGGCGCGTAACCCAGTAAATTGGACAGGAGAGGTACGTTGATGCGTACTAGGGGGAGGTTGTCTGAAGGTTGACGGAGCAAATACATAAACCCACCTCGAAATATGGACCTTATTAACCATGTTATTTCTGTAGGCCTACTTAATTTGAAGTGTAAACCGTGCCTTAGAGGGAGTGTAGTTGAATATTTTACAGATAGTAGGCTTGCGTAAAAGTAATGTTGCTTAATTAACAAAGGCGTGGCTACAGGAGTGCAGAACAGGGCGCGTGCCCAGGCCCGAACTGTGGGGGTGCCAAAATGAGCCAGGACAAAAATTATATTGCTTCTAAATTCTAAAGCGTAAATAAGCCTCACCGTCCTAAATATAAAAAAAATCTTGGTCACTAGTCAGCCCGAAATTGTAAAATAGTTAAAAGAGGCAATTTTCAAGCATTAATTATTTAATTTGATACAATAACAACGGATTTTATTCCTGTGGTTAGTATTTTACCATCAAAAAATGCAGGCCTATAGGGTAGGCATAAGTGATGGTTAGCAATAGGCCTATGTCCTACAATATTAGGTAACGAAGAAAGAACATTCCAGGACCGAACCAGGATTTTGAATTACACTGTGCTTGGAAAACGCATTTATCTGGCTTATTGATATCACTCTGTCTTTAGATGGAAGTCATGTATTGAAAGGTGGTGGTGGCAGTTGGTGTGGAAGGAGGTGAGGGGTGGGGTGTGCCGGTACATTCTCTGTTCTGTAGCCACGCATATCTACCGGGTGATACCATTCATCCAGATATGTCATTCCCTGGAGATCTTAATTCCATTTCACTCTTCAACTCTGTCAAGTCTATCACATTTTATTTGACAAAAAACATGTGACATGCCTAAATATGGTCATGATGACTTCACATCTTGACCATATATAGGCATATAATGACTATATATGGGCATACAACAGTATTTTGGCACAAACAATTTGATAATGTGGACAGAGCATAATGCAAAATTCCATTAGGTATACAGAAGCCCCCGAACCGACATATACAGTCTCGTAGTCGTGAAGATGGCATAGTAGATGCAAAAACTCGGGACCTAAAAAAAGCAGCCCGTATTTAATTAAGTACTTTACTTGAGTAGCTTTAAGCCTTGTTTTGGACGAATCCATAAATACAAAAATAATCAATCAAAAGCTTTATTTATTCACGAAAAATATACATTTAAAACTCGTTCAACTAAAAATAAAAGACGGTGTTCATCCGGGAGGTAATGGAATTGTACAAGATAAATAAATGTAGACATTAAATATAGATGTTGTAGTTGTAAATGTTTTCAATTCGTTAGTCACATGATGCCTATTTGTAATGTAGTCTTGGTTTGTCCTTTGGGGTAGGCCTGTATACCTAGTATGAATACATACCACATGGCACCTTTAAGGGGGTTTTCTGTGTTTGTAATCTTTTTCCCACTGTTGATTTATCTATATGTCCCACTTGTGACTCTACAACACTTCCCGCGAGAGTGAATGTGTGGGAATTAGCACCACATACTGCTCACCTTTGATCTACTTTTATTGCTTAAATTTGTAATGTATGATTGAAGTGCATAAATCTTTACCAGATTGAGGAAATTATGATATAAAGGTCATGTCTTCCCCCAGAAATTACCACGGTCATGTCTTACCCCAGATATTATAACGCGGCCATCATCCAACGAAGGGATAACGGAAATTTTTTGGTAAAAAAAAAATTGTAAAATGGTTACCATATGTCTATTGTAGTGTGGGGGCTTTTGCTGATAAATAAAAAAAAATAATAAAGAATAGACAATAGATTTTCAAGATATCATCATCATGCATTCATCATCAACATCATCATCATTATCATCATCATCATCATCATCATTTTATCATTAATATTATTACAGTTCGTTCTCCAATTCGAGACCACTTTAGGAGTTAATAATTTGGGGTGGTATCTGGATTCGGTCTTTACTTATAAGGTTAGGCTTGTGTTAAAAGACTGACGATTGTTATTAATTCTTTGAAAAAGAACTCATAAATTATAGAGGTCTTACAAAGTTTATTAACATTTTGTTGCCAAGCTTTAATTTCTGTAATACTTGAATATGGGGCCTATAGACAAAAAATAAAGAAGCTAGGCCTATTTCATAAACTTAACATTAATATAAATAACAACCAACATTCTAATCTATCATCTATTGTTTGTTTGATTTGGCGCAAGGTTTCGGTGCTGATACACTATCGTGGGCTCGTTGTGATTTCGTTTACCTGTTGTCTTGTCGGTCCGTTGGTTGATAAAAATCAAAAGATTAATCACAAATAAAACTCTATGAATAGTTAATGAATAAACGAAGTTTCGAAAATACAATACCTTCAGCGTTAGGTGTTATTCGTGTTAATTGTTCGACATTGGATGTGCATGAATAACGTGAGTATTTCCTTGTTTCGAAGCTGGTGTGTTGTACATTTGGGAGAGAAAATATTGAATTAACCAAAACAAATACATTATTAATTAGAAGTTATATTACTGTTGTGTTCGCGTGATTAATATTAATTTTAAATTATAATAAGTAACTCATTGTAATTTGACAGGTCTGGTATCCGATTAAATGTTATTCGATGCCATCCACACGTTTAATTCCAGGGAGATACGTTGATGGGAACGACAAGTATACCGTTGGCCTACAATGTTACGAATAAGAGTATTAATAGGCAGAATAATAATAATAATAATAATAATAATAATAATAATAATAATAATAATAATAATAATAATAATAATAATAATAATAATTTATTTGGAAACTACACTTTTGAAACAGTGGCACACTTCTCATGATAAAGGTGCGTCCAAAAAAATATAGTACTTCAAACAGAATACAATACACTAGAGAAAACAAAGTATAAATCGAGTAACCGTCACTCAAGCATTTGACAATCACCCCACCCCTATCCAATACCCCCCTCGTCAAAGTATTATATGCAATGATAACTCAATACTCATTTCAATCCCTTTGATTGATGCTTATTCAATTAAAAGTAAATATAATATATTATACGAAGTAAACAAAACTTAAAACTAAAAAGTAGTAAAAAAAACGACAATGGAAAATGAATAAAACTTGAAAACAAATACATAAAAATTAAAAACAAATATGTTCAGAATACCGAACATTCCTGAGAGCATACATTTCCCTCATCAATAAAACTAAACCCCTTATTAGCAGAAATGATATTCTAAGTACCGTTATTACCAATAAGTAGAAGTAAGTTTTGTGGTTTTATGATATTTATTTTTCCGGCGGAAAACAAATTTCTGTATGTATTATATGGACGAAAAAAATATATGAGTATCTGAGTATATGACTATCCAAAATTATTTTGTGATCGATAAATTCTTTTGTTTGTTGATAAACATAGAGACTTATAACAAGAGACAAGATAATTTGTACAATTAAACATGATTCACTTGAGATTTATGAGGCCTATAATTGCTATCGCATTTAGCTGGTGTGTAAATTTGTTCTTCAAAGTTTTGTAAATTAACCAGTTTGAAACCTGAAACAGCAAGTAGATAGATCAGCTGCAGCTGCAATGATATTAACAAGTTGATATTAACAAGTTCAGCCACCCACCGACTTACACCGTTCGATAAAAATACCGGTGTCGCGTGGATTTCTGTCCTCCGTGACTTGCTCATCACACTCACCCATAACGCCTATGAATGGGAAATTGCCCTAGCGAATTCACTAGAGATTTTGACTTGTAGGGTGAATGTACAAATGGTGGATGATGAAAATGAATGTGAAATTCAGAC